CTTGTCCCACAGATCTATTTTCTTTCACAAAGCATGGTCCTCATGTTCCCATGTACCAACCCATGAAGGACAGCGTTAAAGATTGTGATGAAGTCAAAAAACATGCTCATGACTTTGATGTCAATGATAAGCGCTTGGTTGATCTTGACGTCAAAGCTCGTGTCGCCAAAATCTCTGCCCTATTACATTTACCACTTTGTTTAAAATTACAGATCTGCCAAGGAGATGAGGGATACACTGACGGTAGCATATGAAGTAACTGATAATCGCCTTTTCCAGCAGAAAAACGAACCTCTTACTCAACTTTTCAATCACTTCAATTGCTTGGTGAATGATATGTGTCGTCTTAATAAGAATATAACTAGAAACTCTTTGGTTCTCAAGTTTCTAGACTCGATGAATAATAGTTGGGAACATCATGTTGATGGTCTAAAGAAAAGTGAGAAGATTGCAACCATGGATCTATCTTCATTATTTTGAAATCTTCATAATCATGAAGAAACGAAGATTTTGCATAAGGAAATTTTGTGTGACACTCACAAAGACAGATCAGTAGCCCTCTATTCAGAAAGGTCACCGCCAAATAGCCACAACGACTTATTAGATGAATCTAAAGGTGAAGACTTGACAATCAAACATTATATTTGCCAAAACAACAAGAAAACCTCTGGACCCAGAAGGTTTACATCAAAGTTTGACTCATCATTGTCTAAAGGCTATGACACTGGTTGAAAGTCTACTGTTGAAAAGGAAAGTCCATAGAACTTCAATTGTGGAGGCATTGATTACTTCGCCAGGGAATGCAAGTCTAAGAAGGTGGATGCAAATGAAGACTACGAGGTGATGTATAAGAAGTTGTTGGCATAATAAATCCTGATGGTATCACTGCATGTTCTGCTTGCTTAACTTCCTTAGATCCTATTGTTAGAAATCATGCTTTCATTATTCCAACACATACCACCGGCAATCCTAAAGCCGATGATCATAATCACTTCCTTCTTGAGTCCCACGACTTAACCAACAATGCATCAAGTAAGGCCCTCGAGAACTCAATATCAACTAACTCACCAAGGTATGTAGCACTTAAACATAAACCAAGATGGTCACTAAGGACCAAACAATCAGCAGCCACAGCCTTAGCCTGAGCTACCAGAATCGATAAACCGATAAAGACGGAAAAACACTACAATGAATCATGGTGCCAAACCATACAATCTACCCTCAATCAGCTCCTTAGAATCCTTGAAATTTTCTTCGATTCGAGTACTGATCCTGTGCCTTCAGTAGTACGGGACCAATTCTACCTTCCACACTTATCCTTACCTCCCTCAAGAATCATTCCGAATCATCTAAATAACTACTCATGTCCACTACCGTCCGATCCATTCACATATACCTGCTCTCAAACGAATTCACACCGCTAAACAGTGCACCAAATCCTATAAAGCACTTCTTAGGCTTTCCAATGATTCTCACCTCACCCTGTCATCAGCTGCTAAAGAAGCCCTACTAATATTTGCTAACTATTTTATGAATAAAATTACATGCAACAAAACTTAAATAATCTTTCGAATAAAAGATTCAACTCTACAACGTTTAGACTCAAACGAGAGCTATGTAGTAGGGCTAAATAAATCATTCTATAATTATTTAACCTTTGTTGCATGTAACTTAACATATTCACTTAATAGTTAGCTCACATCAATATGGGTCCCACAAAGCACAAAACAAGCAGCATTCGTGCAGTAACACTCTATAGGTCAGAAATCACAAAAAGCATCCTCCAACTCGCTTGCTTCTGCGATGCTAGAAACTTCTACCAACACTGCTGCTTTCCTAATGCATGCAAATTATACACAAAACAGGATCAAATAGACTGTCGAATAAAGGATTCTACCCTAAGACCACAAGCAGACGGGGAACATAAAATAACGGTAAATCAATCATTCTAGGGCTATATGATCATAACCATATTCAATTTTTAAAACATACACTTAGTAATCAATTCTACCAAGATAGATTTCAAATCTGACATAGCATCCAATTCATCCTAGGCTAGAAGGCGTCACAAATCAGTTCATTCTATCATGCAATTCCAGAGGGTATCCTTAGCCTAGTCATTGTCCGGCATAAAAGGAATCTCTCCTAAGTAGGCATTCTAGCATGCAACGCTGAGAATATCCTTATTAAAACTTTTAGTATGCATATCATACAATAACAAATATATCATATCAACAAATACGAGGTATTTTAGGAACCACTTATTTGAGCTCGACTGATTGCATGCATTGCATCCATTTTCTTTATAAAACCTTTTTATAAAATCATTTTATTTTAATAGATTTTAGAAATCTTCAGTTTAAGTTCACACACACCTAAAAGTGTGCTCGAATCCCTCAAACCAAAGCTCTGATGCCAACTTGTAACGTCCCAAAAATACCGAGTAAAGATTTCATTTTAAATAAATCAAACCATTCATTCATTGTTCCAATAGATGATCAGAGTCAAAGTATTCTCAAAACGTCATAGTCAAATCATAAACAATCAATGTAAAAAAATCTGTAGGGGATGCAGTGCGATCAAGTCGGACCCTTCTTTCTGATACAAGAAGTACCTAAAAAACATTTAAACACAAAACCGTAAGCACAAAACTTAGTGAGTTCCTCCAAAACACCACATACCATACAAGTAATAGGCCCAACCCAACATACATGCTTCGGGCAAAACCATGTATTTGGGCCTAGCCCATATAATCGGACCCAACCCATATAGTCGGGCCCAACCCATAGAATCGGGCCCAACCCATATAATTAGGCTCATCCCATACAGTCGGTCCGAGCCCATATAATTGGCCCAATCAAAATAGTCGGGCCCAACCTATACATAACATACATACACATGCTAGAGTCACAAAGACATCTAGCATCCTACATAACACAATATATTAGGCTCGCATTGGTGCCTCCGCCCACGAGTACAATGAAAAGACGCACCAGAACTATTCAACTGAAGCCCAACAGCTACATCATGAAAAAACCAGCCAACCCAAGCTTTCTAAAGCCAAACTGAGACCAATCCTTAGTCAAATAATCAATGTTACCCAAGGTTGACCAAAAGTCCAACTGGTCAAAAAATCAAAGGCTAAAGTCAACTCCAGCTGACGTGGCCAACCCATGGCTATGCTGTTGCCACATAATCTAGTCTCGATCAAAAACTACTACCATGTCGTGGTAGACATGCCACCACGCCATGGCAGAATCCAGGCAAAAATTCACAAATAAACTCGCCGCCACGCTGTGACGAGCATCATGCCACGTTGTGGGCATGCCCAGACAAAACAGACGTGATAAATCCTGCCACTACGCCAAAGCTCTTCAGTCTAAAAGGCTTTTTCCTGAATAAGAGCTTAATTCATAAGGACCAAAGCTCAAATCAACAGATTTGGTTCCTAATAGCTTCATAATGGATAAAGTTTCCAACTTTATCTATTAGGATGGTCCAAATCACCAAGATCTAGACTTTAAGTCTCAAATGGACCCAAAAATGCATCTTTCTCGACTTAATACCTTAAGTCCAACTCTCCCACTTTCAGATTTGAATCAACAAGATGTCTAGATGGATAAAGTTTCCAACTTTATCCATAATAATGCTACAATCCTTAATACACCAAAATGATCTAAATTACCAAGATAACTTGCATGGCTAAAAGGGAAGGCAAATGATCATATCTTTCCTAATCCATGAGGTCCAAGGAGCATCCCAAACTGATCAAAAGATGTTGAAGTCTACTCAAATCCAAGATCACTCATAAAATGGACAAAAAAAAATGCCAAAAACCACAAATGAAGAGATCTAAAGAACTAAACAACAAGATTAGAACTTTATACTCACAATAGTTCGGAAATGTAGTGCCTTTGATGGATCCAAACTTGAAACATCAATCCTTGCAACCAAAAAAACCTTCTTGATCTTCATGCTTCATTAAAACATCACCAAAGGCATCCAAAATAGGAGAGATGAGAGAGGACAAGCTCAAATCCGAAAGTTGGAGGCTAGGGTTTCTCTCAAGGGGTTCTAGATATGATAGAGGCTGCTAAAATGCCCAAAAATACGAAACCTTATGCTTAAATACGTTGAAACCCTAAAAATTATGGGCTTGGGCCTAAAAGCTTGTCGTGCCATGGCAATTATTTGTCGTGTCGTGGTAACGAGTTTTCACCCAAATCCACCTCAACTTCAAACAACCGTAACTTCTTCAATTCAACGCCATTTTCGGCGATCTTTATATCCACGAAAATGTATTGAAGAGCCCCACAACCCTATCTAGTTGACTTTGACTTAAAACATACCAAACTAAAATCACTAATTCATGCAATAAGTCTGAAACATCACTTTTCCTATTTTACCCTTTGACACCAAAAAAAAACAAATGGCTTAAATCACATAACCAATATTACCAACATGCGATAGGTCTAAACATTAATCCTTTGAAGCCAAATCCTTTACTCAATCCATTTATTGTCCACAATCCCGAAATAAGAAACTTATTAAAACAGGATGTTACGATAAATACATAGTCCACACAATAATGTTGATCAGTGGTTGATCTCATAAGATTATAAAACGTATCATGTCGTGTAAAATTGAAACACTAAACGGTTTAATTTTTCTCGACCTTAACCTTACCTATTTGTTTGTATCATGTTTCATCCCGAGCTTGTATCGTGTTCGTTCGGGGTCAGTGAGTTGTGTCACTTTTATCCACCTATAAATTTTTCTTATATTTTTTCTTCTGTGTATAGTTTTTTATTATTAATAAAATACATCATAAGATTAGAGAAATCCAATATATAGAAAGATACTAACCAACAATGATCAAATTACAAACATAAATATATTTTCCATCATAGGGAATACATCGACATTGCTTTATTTAATTATAAAACCAGGTGAATCATCTTGATCCTAGCAATTTCCCTCACCAGTGAATCTCGATTATACTAGAACAAATTCTCTACCAAACCAGGTAGAGTTAGATTTGCAAAGATGTAACAACCAAGCTCTGAGAGGTGGCCACTATCGAAAAATAAGTATTTAGAGTCATCCGGGCATGTTCCGACGAGTTGATTGCATGTATAACTAAACTCTATTAATCCGATTCCACAACAACCTTTGTTTGTAACTTCCAACCCTACGGCAAAGAAGAACAGAATTACAAGCAAGACCTTGTTAAAATGGGAATGTGCTAAATCTACGCCAAAAATTGTATAATATATGAAAAAAATATTTTTGGTGCTGGAAACATAAATGAAAACTATTAAAAACTAAAATTCGTTGGAAAACACTATCTAATGAATAATTAATTATATAAATTATGTATTGGATATAGTGCATACCGTATTGCTGAGGGTTATTGATGATAATTATTAGGGGATTGTAGAAATCAACAAAAGCAATCCTGGACTGAGGAAGATTGCTTGCAAGTATTGGGAGTTGTCCTTTTAGCATATTGTTGAAGATTTGTGCTTGTTGATTTTGATTTTGGGCGCACATCCTAAGTAAACCTCCTTGTAATGTCCTCTGTACAGGAAGACAGCCGACAGGTGGTGCACTAAAGACACCTATCTTTCGTGCTCCCACTTTGTATAGCTCCTTCAACAAATTTGAAGAACAATTATAAGTAACGTCATTTAAGACAACTCTGCATATCCATATAAAAGTCCATCGTTTTGTGTTTTTTCTCAAACTGTGTATTTTTTTCATTTACGTATAGAAGCGTGTGAATGTTCATCGAAAGCTTCATTTGATAGAAGTATTTATACCTGCACAAAACTCAACGTCAAGTTTACTAGCATGCTATCATAAACATCATCCGGTAATCCACTTGCAGGAAGGGAAAAAAGCATATCGTTGGTGCTTGCCACTACCAAAAATACACTGTTTGTGATTATATCTTTGGGAAAATGACACATATAACCATCGAACTTTCTAGGGTTTACCCTTTTAGTCACTAAACTTTTTTAGTGGCTTTATGAGGGCACGAACTTTATTTTGTCGGGTTTGTTATGTCATTATGTAAATTGTGAAGGGGTCAGCCGGTCATATTAATGTCACATGTGTTAATTATAACCCTTGCTTTGCTGACTGTGTATGCCATGTCATTTAGTAATATTTACCAATAGATTTACAGGTTTACTTAAATGAGATATGTTGCCGAATACTGTTCGCCATTCACCCCTTCCAGCTCGTTCAATAAACCCTTAATTTCGCTCTGTCTCCTCAAACATCAAACATGGATCCCGTATTCATCCAAGTCGATGTGCATTTCCAAGGAATCTTTGCAAAATACCATATACGCTACACCGGGGGGATTACTCAGAGGATGTCGGACATCGATTTCGCAGGCATGGACTGCGTCTGGTGTTATGAATTTATGGAAAGGTTTACCGGAGAAAAGTGTGCGAAGCTCTACTACTGCCAACCAGATATTAATTTCCCCAAAGGTCTGACCTTAATTTCGAATGAGTTGGATTATGCTGATTTCATAGCAATAGCCTATGAATGTGGTGTTATACTTCCTATGTATATAGACCATTTTGGTAATAGTAACATGCAGGAATGGTTGGAAGAACACAAAGAAGAGGTTGTTGATAACATAGTGGAAGAAATTCTTGATGGTGCCGGACTAGTTAAATAAATTGGGTCAGGCCATTTGGATGATGAGGATGAAAATGAAGATGAGGATGAGGATGACCACGGGGATGATGATGTGGACGCTGATGCAGACGAGGATAACCATAGCAGTCCTCATGTATTCAAAAAGTCTAATGGGCCTGATGTCGAAATGGGTGAGAATGCAGCTTCGGGTGGCCCTTTGGAAGAAGGCATGAATGATGATGAAGATGTTTATCCTCAGTTGCCAAACATTTTCAATGAACAACTTCACTGGAAGGAGCAGGAACCTGTGTTAGGTATGAGGTTTGAGAGTCCTAAACAATTGAAACACATGCTCTGTAACTATGCTGTTGCAAATGGTTATCAATTATGTTTTGTGAAAAATGATAGTAGACGGTTGCTAGCAAAATGTTGTGATGGAAAATGTACATTTAGGCTTTGGGGGTCATGGATGAGTGATGACAAGTCTTTCCAAATTACGTCTCCTATTAGTGAGCACGAATTTTCAAAGGATTTCAAATTCGGATCAATTGTAACTTATAGATGGATAGGTACCCACTTTACCCAATAATTTTTCATTAATCAGAAAATAAGTGTGAGATTACTAAAAGAGGAGGTCAAAACCACTTTTGGCATTGTTGTAAGTATGAGTGAGTGTAAGAGAGTCAAGAAGTATGCATTGAGTCTAGTTGAAGGCACGATTGCAGAAAATTATCCTAGAATATGGTCTTACGGTGAGGAGATTAAAAGATCAAATCCTGGATCCACTGTTAAATTTTCTGTGGATACAATGCCTGATGGTAAGAATTAGTTCAGTAATATTTACATATGCTTCGCTGCAGTCAAAGAAGGGTGGCGTGGAGGGTGTAGACGGATCATTAACTTGGATGGTTGTTTCTTGAAAACCTATTGCCAGGGTGAGTTGTTCTGTTCTGTTGGTAGGGATGCTAACAATGGAATATTCCCAATTGCTTGGGCAGTTGTATGTGTGGAAAACAAAGACAATTGGAAATGGTTCATTGAAAATCTTGCACAAGATTTGCAATGTTGGAATGATGGAAGTGGATTGACATTAATTTTTGATCAACGCAAGGTATGTTTATAAAGTATTTAACGTAGTATAGTAAATATTTACATTTTTAACTCCTCTTATTACTGGTACATGTGCAGGGTTTAGTTGAGGCAGTCAAAGAAGTATTCCCTGCAGCAGAACATAGGCAGTGTGCCAGACATATATATGCTAACTTTAGAAAGAGGTTTAGTGGAGCAAACACTACTAGAAAACAGCCCTTTAATGACGCGCAAACAATGACACGCGCTGATAGAGGACACGCATTTGTACGTGCCCTAAAAAATAATGTCAGTTTTGCAAAATTTGAAGGATAGAGGACACGCATTTTTGCGTGCCCTAAAATTAATGTCCAAAAAAAAATGCAAACACGGAAGGCGCTTATCTTAAATGTGTGTCATCTACAAGTGTCGCTTTATAATTTTTTTATTGGAACGCGCATTTTTAAAGGGGGAAAATGAAATCCTCTCAAATACTAAAATTTTGAACTACCCCGCTTCTGCACTCTCTTGTATCTCCCTTCCTTCTCTCTGTAAACCCTAAATCGCCACCACCATTGAACCCTAAAAACTCAATCCACACTTCACGCCTTCTGTGATTCTCTCCTCTTCGGCTCTCTAATCTACGATTTCAGTCTGAAAACATATATCGACCTCCCTGCTTCGATTAGAAACCCAAAAAATTAGAAAACGCCACATTGTCGAGCATGTTGGCGCCGGCGCTCTGGTGTACCTTGTCACCGTTTTATAATTTTTCCGACCCTTTAATTTTAGCAAACCCACCGGAACCCTAAGTCTTGCCTTTTACGCATTCACATCTTTCCTTCCCTAATCGCCTGTATTTAACTTACTATTTGGGAATTTTGGTAAGAGCGTAAAGATTTCACTATGCCCATGGCAAGTCTCGCAAATTCCTCCATGGAAGCAGCCTCTCGCTCGTTAGCTTCTAATGATTGCAGTACCAGATTCACTTTTTGGAAAATCGCTACAAATCGTTTTAGTCAGAGATGTCGATGGAAAAAGCCTTTTGGGACGCCTTGAACAACGCAATTTCATCCAGAATTAAATCACGAAACACATTTGATGAAACCTCTCTCTCCGATTTCCTTGGTATCTTTCAAGAACGGCGATTTCAACCATAATCTAATCACTAACGTCTCACATTCTCTCCTCCCCTCTCAATTCTAATGGCGATTTTGGTTTATAATTGTTTGTTTTCCGGCGATTTCACCCAGACCATCAATTTAATTTTATTTTTTTCGGTGAACAAGCTATGTCCCGAACAATGTAAGTGTTTTCCTAATAATTTCTTATTTTTAATATTTTCTATTGTTCGATGGCTAATAATCATACTGATTCTACTCAAAATTCTTGATTTCAGGTTTCTCGTTCCCAATATTATTTCGGTCTATATGACAAATGGTCGGTTACATGGTAATTTTTTTGCTCTACATTGTATACATATCATCAAGTCACTTGTTTAATTGATTCGTGGTATGATTTCATTACCTCAGAGAGTTTAATGAGACGAGTTAAATAAGTTGTATCATGTTTACGTATAAAATCCCATATCGACTCACTCTGTTCATGGATAGCTTGAAGTTTATACATCTTTTGTATATTCTCTAAAATCTTGCAGCTAATTTTACTTTTCTTATTTTAAACCAAGGATTTGAATAGATAGATGGTTTTATTTTTTTAATTCAAAAATTGGAACTCTTATGCTCGTAATATTTCTTTTTTTTTTTCAGCTGATTTGATACAAGAAATGGTCGGTTACCTGTTGTACAGCTTGCTCTTGAGCTCACTCACAAGATCTTTGGTTCTTGTCCACCTATGCAAAGTTTTGATCCAGCCAAGATGCTCACAGTAAGATTTTATTTAACTATAACATTGATGCAATTTTCCCTTTTTCCTATTCCTAAAATGAACTGATGGTATGGTGATTAGGACTTCGGGAAGCTTCAAACACTTGATATAATGGTTGTATGCAGGAAATCATCATGTTCTCCTGTTTGCTCGCAAATCCCATTTTGGCTCTGTTTTTTTTAATCAAGTGCTGTTAAAAAATATATATATTTTATAAAATGAAAATGCACTTGAAAAATGAAAATGTTTGATGCTTTCAAGAAAAGATACAAACATGTTGCAGGGTAAGAAGCAAGTTGCAGTGAGGAGAGAATTAATGGTGACAAGTCAAGCCTTTTGTCTTTGCCTTTTCTCCTCGTGAAACCAGGTGCTCACATGTACACACTTCAACTATTCAACACACACTCACATACGTATTTTTATATGTATTTCAACACGTCTTCCCGTTCACACCCTCTAACTGTTTGATTTAATGTCCCAGTGAGTTCTTAATTTTCTATCACTTTTATTACTGCTTCTCTCTCTCTCTCTCTCTCTCTCTCTCTAAGAAGAAGGGGAGACTCAATTCAGTGTTTTGAATTGAGAAGAAAGAAGAAGATCAATATCTGGATCAACATGGGTTCCTATTTCAGTGTTAGATTGAAAATTGAAAGTTCACGTTGTTATAACTTTTATATTTTTATGATGAATTTTTATATGTTTGTCTAGAAGAACTTATACTTCTCATTTCATTTTCTTATCGATAATCTGTGGATGAATTGTGTAAATATAAAAATAGAACATAATAAAGTTGAATTTCTTCACATTTTTATATTTTTGTGATGTATCCAGCTGCATAAAATTAAGCAGTATAGAGAGTAATATGGTCTTTTTGATTAAAAAAAGGGTGTTATGGTCTTTTTGATGTGTTTAAACTCCAAGCCCTTGGAGTCCTAGAAGTCAAACAGAAATCTTACAATTGGGAAATTTAAAGCCTTTTAGCTTCAATGTACTTAAATTGGCTACAAGAAATTTCCGACTCGATAGTGTTCTTGGAGAAGGTGGATCTGGGTCGGTTTTCAAAGGATGGATCGATGAACAATCTGCTAAGAGATTAAATCAAGAGATCTTCAACGTCTTCAAGAATGGCTCGTATGTTCTTATGCATAAGATAAATTCATTCTCGAATCTTCTTTATTTAAATCAATGAATTACAACTCTTAATTTATTTTTTTGATCATGTTGCAGGCAAAATTATTATTTAGGGATATTAAACCATCTGCCCCTGGAGACACAATATTGAACTTTTCATCAAATTTGCATTGTTCATGGCTAGGTCAGTAGGAAATTGACTGTGATACTTTTCATCAAATTTCTTCCAATACAAGTCTGAATCTGGGTACTTTGTTTTCTCAACACATTCTGATAATTTGAAGGGTTATTATTATTATTATTATTATTATTATTATTATTATTATTATTATTATTGCTGTTGTTGTTGTTGTTGTTATTATTATTATTATTATTTATGTTTCTTACCTGAGTTACTGCCATTTTGTAAGACAACAAAGTGGCAACAAGGTTTCCATCACTGTAATTTCAAATTATAAGATCATGAGTATCATGTAACGCGGGTGACCCCTAGCAACCATAACCTGCATTTCTCCTTTGAAATCACTTGACTTGTCCTTATTTGCAAATCTCTATTCTTGGCAACAACAGTTGGCTTCTTCATATCATGCTTTCGAAATTACCCCTGCATAATCCTCTAGATTATCTTTGTCCTCTTTGTGAATATATATCATGCTTCCGAAATTACCCCTGCATAATCCTTGGCAGCTAGTAATAACTTAACATTTAGTACTTTGACCTGAAAATTTAAATAGAATTTGTGAGAGGGACGAATATAAAGAAATTTTGAAAATTAAAGGGCTTTATACTTGAAGTAATTGTGAACTAAACACCTGTGACAACCGTAAAAATTCGATTCGGTTCTAGATTTGATAAACTTAGTTGTACGTGTAGGCACGACACATACTAGACTTAGTAACTAGAAACTAAGTTATAACCTACTACAAACTTGGAAACAATTAGAATCAATAGATAGTATACTTAGATTTCATATTGATATGTGAATTCTACAACTACTTAACTGTAGTGAATATCCATATTTAGGTCACTCTTTGACTCGAACACCTTTTCATGAATCATATACACACATCATGCACTTGACCTATTGCTAGAAATTAGGTCCTAGTCTCGTTGGAACTTAAGTTAGAGTTGAAAACTAGGACTAGTATACTTGATTCCTCAATTTCGCTTGAATCTCGGAATCACTACATAGAATGCCAATAAACCGATAAAATAAGTTACAAACATTATTTATAACTATGAAAAGAGTTATAATACCATAAGATAAATTTAAGTCTCAAAGATTCTATTGATTTTGATATCCAAAGATTTACAAATCTCAAAAACCCTAAATGCCCTAAAAACCTAAATTTATGAAATTTAACTTTAAAAATTCTATAAAAATAGTTATGAGCCTCATAATATGATCTTATAATAATTAAAATTATAAAAATTCATTCAAGGAAAATAAAATTTAACTTATTAACATTTACCCTTAATTTATAAATCAAAAATCAAGGTTTTATGAATAAAAACTTGATTTTAGTGCACATTTTATATAAAATTTAGATATTTTATAAAAGAACTTAAATTTTATAAAACAAAATGAATGAGAAAGGGGTATTATTCTCAAATTTTCGGACCCCTCTCTTCCCATATCTCTCTCTCACCCTCTCATTCTCCAACACACACACATCTCTCTTCTTTCTCTCTCTAGAAAACTCTCTCTACCTTCTCTCTAATTTTTTTCTCCAAACACCACAACCAACAGCCTCTTAACCATGAAATTATGGAGATTCATAAGGGTTTTTGAAGCCACAAATAAATTTAAGGTAAAGAACATACATCTCTTGAAGATCCACAACAATGATTTAAGCCATGCATGTGCATTTTACTTCAAAAACCGACTTCTACTTCTTCATCTTCTTCAAACTTGTTTTCTTTTTGTTAAAATGGTTATTAACATCATGGATGTGTTTTAACACCATGCATGTATGTTAAACAAGGTTTCATGTTAATGATCTAAGTGCAAAAATCGAATTTAAGGATCAAAACATCAAACTCATTTTTAAGAGTTCTTGAGAAATAAGATTTTTGTATTTTAATGCATGTATGTAAATTATGATTTCTAAATATATTTGATCTCTGGAAACATGACCATAACATGCATGGATCATTATATCTTTAAAATATTTCAAAAGATTTACTCAAAGAAATGATGAAAACTCACTTTTCTAACCAATCATCATTCATGCAATCTGCCAGATTTCTTTACCTGACTTTAAACTGCCATATCTCACTCATTTCTTAACCAAAATTCGAGATTCTTTTTCTGAAATATATTATTTTGAGTTAGCTTTCAAACCCGTCTGACCTCACTGGAAAAATCTAATATTTCGATTTTTAGCAATTTTTACAAAACTGTTGCTCAATCAGCACATTTTTTTGAATACTAGTTTTGTATTGCATGTTCAAAGGTCTTATTCCTCACTAAAAATCTAGTAAAAATTAATTTGAGCACTTAACATCCTGTATTAAGATGTACAAAAAGATCTTGATTCAAAAGTCTTTGGAACATGTTGCAAAAATTCTCAAAGTAACATCAATAATCTTTACCAAAATCGCAAGTATCAAGTTTTCTCTATAACTGATTGAGCCTTTAGTCATGTTTTTCGACATCAAAAATAAGAAAACGATTTTTCATTGATATTAAATTGTATGAAGATGCATTCTGGAAATTTTCAGCTCAATATATATTTTATTTATTTTTACATGAAAATAATAAAAAAATAGAGTGTTAAAGCATATAAAATACTTACGCTTGAAAATAAATTCTAGTTAACATCTCTCATAAAGTTTCATGGATTTTTGTTAGTATTTATTATCATTTTGATTTTTCTTTTTATTTAGCTCCAATAAATCATAAAACCACTTTAGGGAATGTGAAAATATTATCTATTATTTTTCGCAGCTTCTAACTTATGTTTAAAACCCAGAAACGAATTTTGGGAATTTTTCAAAATGTATATCTTTTTTTCCATGATTTTTGTGTTTATAAACGATTAAAAACTAGAAAAATAGTTTTACTCATCCAAAATTCATGAAAATTTACCAGCAACTCTTATAATATTTTAGGATGCTACATATAAGTTTTGATGATTTTTCTCTTCTGTATACTATTTGTATTCTATTTTTCCCAAGATTTAATACACTTAAATGCACAAAAATCATAAAATTAGGTTAAACAGTTTCGAAATCCATTTTTATATTTTTCCCAGCTTAAGTATGTGTAATAACACTTGTAAAAAAGGTTTGGTGAATTTTTTAAACTGTTATCTATTTATTTCTATTTTTATAGAATAAATACACAAAAATCAAAAAAGTTGTGTTAAACTTTTTGAAAACACATATTAATATTTTTCCCAGATTATATACACTGTAAGACAGTTACACAAAAATTATAAGAATTTTTCATGATAATTTACTATTTTTTCCATGATTTTATGATTATTCAAGGAATTAAATCGTGAAAAATAGTTAGACAAATCAAATTGACCTCAATTAAAACTGAAATGCAACATTTTGGAAAGTTTAGAACCAAATTGATTAAGTTTTTGAATATTTAATCTTTGGAACACCTCTTAAAATGTTAAATATTAACATTTCAATAATGAGAATTTTCCACTTAAATTGTTATATAACAATTGATTCATTGAAATTTAATTTTCACATAAATATGTTTTTAAGTTATCAATATTAATTTTGACACAATATTGGCATAATTCTATTGTAGTAGTAAGTATACTAGTGTTAGATTTCGATTAGAGACTCACTAGCGAATATCATTACTGTAGAAATCGGTAGTGGTACAAGTGGAACGTAGTTCAAGGCACCATTTGCATCATCTCAATGCATAGTGCGTATTCACGCACTCCCCTATTTTCGGTTTTTATGTTTTGGGGTGGAAAAGCATGTCCGAAAAACTATTTATTGATCGTTGTATTTAAATTGATTCGTATTAAACTCGATTGCTATATTTTGCTATAATTTGCTATATTCTGCTATGTATGTCTATGCAACACGGAACATGAGAACTTATCGTCTTAAGTCCCTTCCCTTATACTTTACTCCAACCATTAACTCTTTGAGCCAATGGTCATTGTGGATAGCGCTATTAGGAATTGCCAACTCCTCACTCGCCCGATTGCTTGAGTACATGATACCATATAATCTATGGAACGATAAGCATAGCTCTTGATAGGGCATCAGTCATAGGCTTGGTTGGGAACTCATTGTTTGCTCATACACATACAAACTTGTTACTTATTATATAAATAAACTTGTTTATTAATTATGGCAATGAACTTTGTTTCTCATTATAGCAATGAACTTTGTTTCTCATTACAACAACGAACTTTGTTTATGCAAACTTAATACTCATTTTTGCAATATATTTCTATTTATGGAAACTTTTATCAAAACTTTGATTTCGATTCATGAAACCAATATTATTATTATTTTTTTTATCTGTGAGTACTCACCAACTATTTTTATAGTTGACGCTCGTTGTACATGCTTTTTCAGGAATCATCGAGTAAGTGGCACTTAGGGACACTTCACTGTTAGGAGCATTCGCATGTGTTGTATTCCAATTTTCATTGTAATTTCTTTTAAAAGTTGTTCAAACCCATTGTAAATTTGTAATGATTTTTTAATACTATGGTTGGTGTTGTCTTTTAACTTTTGCTATGAAACCCTTTATACTGCCACGCCTCGTGTTTCCGCTTTAGCGGGGTGTGACAGAAATGGTATCAGAGACGAAGGTTATAGAGAATACCGGTTTTCCTTTGGAGAACCACAACTATAGCCAAAAAATTTCTAAACGTTTTTAAAATATAGAACATACTACTGGTATAACTAATTCGAGTATGCATTATTGGACTTTAATTAAGTATAGCCTGGCCAACAATGCTTAATTAAGGAAAGTTAATGTGAGGCTGGAAACGGTTATACTAGAATTATGTTCAAAACAATTTTCAACTTAAACTTTTGAAAAACAAAATTTTTCGGTGTGCGTACGGGCATTGCATATTATAGGCATTCATCTAGATACACTTAGAAACTAAGTGCACTTTTATAACAATGCCTTTATTTAGAAATATTCTTGTCCCT